GCGGACGGAGTCGGCAAATAAATCTGACGTAGCAACTCGACATCTAGAATCTATGGAAGGAGTTATAAAGGTTATGTGTAATTGTGTATATAATAGTGGCTTATAATAGCAGTATTCCATTTTAAAACTTTGTTGAAAATCTTTGTTAGATACAAAAATTCTAATTTTTGTGTAATAATTATTCAACAGTTGATAAATACTTAATTCGATTCACTCCTTTCGTATGCGAGCCTTATCTGAGAATCATGTGATATGAAATTTACTACAAAATATCCGATGATTTTTTTGATTTAATTTGATGGTTTCTCCTGCGATTTCTTCTCCTGTTGTAACTTACTCCCCCTTTTTGCCGTATATATCCAAGTGTATCCATTTTTTTACTAAATTTAAGACATAAATAATGTTATATAAAAAATAATAAATATTTAAAATCACTCATAAGTAATTGATTACATTCATTTGAACTTATCTCAAAAAGTGCGTGTTTTATACGCAACTCATTTATTTTACGCGCGATCATTTACAACAAACACGCACACAAGTTCGTGCACAGTAAAATTTAGGTATTTATGAATGACTACTACATTGTCAACACGTTCTGTTTTTTAGGGAAAAGAATGGAATTTTTTTTTGGAAAAAGAAACTTTGTCTTTTATTTCAATAAACGATTATACTACCGAGTCTGAACCTCCTGTGTAAATTTGCGTACTTCTCAAAAAGTCTCCCTGTATAAACTTATATATATATTTTTCTGCGCCATTATATGAATAATTAAAAGATATAAATCCCGATTCGCTTGAGACAAGAATCCGATACAAGTTAACAGCTCCCCCACATCTATAACAATAATAAAAAAATGTGGGGAAGGCACACGGTTCCATGAAAACAACTCACCAACGCCGTGTGCGGTGAATGCCATCAAACATATTGCGCTCCCCTCCTCGAAGAGGGACAACAAGTTGGGGAAAGGACCGAAGTCCATTGCAAAGCTGTTTTACCAGCATAAAGAGGACTTGGCCCCTTGGCAGTGCGTAAGCACAAACTAAGTCGCGCATGTCAATGCGTGTAAACGTCATACAAGCCGACGAAAAATCCAGTGTTCGTGAATGTACGTCAATACGGTTTTGGGCAAGTGTTGATAATCAGGCACTTCGGCCCTTTGATATAATAAGCTCTCCGTAAGTGCCACCACTTTTGCCATATCGCCGCGACTGCAGACGTGATCGTGACGTTTCTCCCAGATTACCCTGCAACTACCACAAGACGCATTACTGCATATAGCCGCACGCATCGCGTAGGTGGCACACCCTCACACCATACCAATGTAACTCCAATCAACTTCGGCTCCAAAGTTTAGAATATACTCGGAACACCCGAATTGTCCACACATACTCTTTCACCATCCGAATGATAGTCGATGTATCATAATGTAAACACTAAGACGCAAACCACCAACGGACCCCGACCCAAGCCAAGTAATAGACAACGTATCATAGTGGAATACACTAAGACGCAAGCCTCCACCAGACTTCCCAAAGTCAGATGATCAGTCGACATATCATAGTGCAATACACTAAGACGCCAACAACCATCAGACTCTTACTATGCCGAATGAGACAGCTAACGTATAATAGTGATGGTCCCTAAGACGTCCCTATATTTATAAAGTCCCAGGTCATTCACTGCTTAGTTATATTTATTTATTTATTATTTTTTTTCTGAGCCTTCACTTATTATCACTTGTATCCAGTAGACTTTACTTGCATATGATCTTGGTATGGGACGTTCATTATGATCACGGACGTTCATTTAATGACAATCGGGGTTTCATTTTTGGTCCAGTAAAGTGCTGCTTATTTAGAAATTAGTAACAATAAATTATTTATTCGGTTCAATACCAACACAGTTGCAATTATATTCCACTTATTTACGGGTTGCAATTTTTTTTGCAAATGGGACTTTTGTCAACATAACTTACTGGTGCTCGTTAAATACCTATTATGATAAAGTAATTTTTAATATTTAGATTATTCTGAAATTGTAAAAAAAAAAGGAAAGTAACAGCCTATACATGTCCCACTGTTGGGCAAAGGCCTCCTCTATACCGAGGGTATCAGGGCATAGTCCACCACGCGGCCCCACTGCGGATTGGCGGACTTCACATATCTTCGATTTTTTTTTATTATTTCGAAAATATGCAGGTTTCCTCACGATGTTTTCCTTCACCGCGGAGCACGTGATAAGTCAGCACTTAAAGTTAAAAACTTCATTGGTGCCGGCACCGGGGATCGAACTCAGGTTGCTCGAGTATATTAAATTAAAGGCGAGCGCCCGGACACTGAGCTATCACTGAGCTTGTAATGCAGAATAAATAATAAAATTAAAATTCCTTATAGAGCCAAAACTAACAACATTGCGATTCTTGAAATATTGGTCTTCTACCGCTGTTCTTCTAGTACCGCGCCTTGAAATTTCACGTTTGAGGCCCGTGTTCCATTCTTTCGAAATCGACGCTTATTCGGCCCCACTAAACCATATGTTGGGGTAAATCACACAAATAGGTTCCAGCCGGCTCCCAGATGCACCCCTTCTTAACACCCATCGTCCGAAACGGAGTTTTAAGGCGCAGCGCTAAGGTCCAAATTCGCCTGCGACGCGGTTAGGAAGCTATTTAAAAAAAAAGGGAACCACCAGTACCGAGCGAGAGTCCTTCGCGGACATTTTGTCGACAGTTCCTGCACGATTAATAGCTCAGTGGTTCGGTGGCTTATTTTTTACGAATACAGAAGGTGTAAACATAAGGTTTGCGCAAGATTGTCCGACGAAGGGGCGCCAAGGGAAGTGCAAGGTGGGTACCTTTTTCTTTACATTCAATTCATTCAACAAACAGGACGTCCCTTACAGGTTTCTTTAGGCGACATGTGTTTTGAAATTCTATAAAGGAGTACGCTTTTGCATGTGCATTGTAAAACTTAATTTTTTTTGGTGAAAAATTTGCTTTAAGCATTTGTTTTATAATTAATACTGTAGAGTTTTCATAATTTGTTGAAATTGAAATTGATAATCGTCAATACGGTGATATTTTACCAATTAAGTTCTATTTTACCGATTTACAGTGTGAATATTTTTTTTTATCAAAACTTTACAATGGTCAACTTTATATAAAAATAATTAATAATCATTTTCTTATAATTAGGTTGTCATCGATTTCCCAAAATGATCGCATCATAAGGTATCACATATCTTTAATATAAATTAATCTTCAACCATTATATTATGTGTAATTTGAGCATAGCTGTTTTAAAATGATTGTAGCAAATTTAGCAGCGAAATGTTCCATCATAAGTTAATTAAATACAGCTTCACATTCGCCGGTGCGGAGTTAATTCTGAGAACAGTCTTTCAGTGGATGGTTTTAATGACTTTGCTATTTTTTTTTTAGTAAATTAATTTGCCAGTAGGTAGGTTTATTGCCTTTCATTACATAAAGATAGAAATATACGAAATAAAAAAAGTAAATGAAAAATCGTCCAACTACAGACGTAATAAATAAATCCGGTGCAAATAATAACCAGTTTATTTGTATATGATAGATATCCCAATAAAAATGCTCCAATAAAAACGCTCTCTTACAGTAATCGCTCAAACTGTTTTAATATATTTGAATGTTATAAATACCGTTATTGTGTTAAATTACAGAATGATACCGGAACTGTCATCGAATGAATCCAAAGTAGAATTACTGCCGAAACCATCAAAGATGACCGCCGAAGAGTTCCATAAAATTTTGATTAATGTATTTCTCAACGACGGCCAAAAGAAACAGACAAAAGAACAGACCGACAAAATGCTACTTGAATACGCTTACAGGGGTTGCAATATACTGTATAGTTCAAATACATTACAATGATTTAAATCATCTTCAATATCTAACAGATATTAGTATCAGTTTAATGAATACTATAATAGTACTAAGAGGGCGAATATAATTGCAAAATACTATTCACTGTAACCCTGTCATGGAAGGCTGTTCGAGTTCTTTGTTTATTATGATATTGTAAAAAACCTTTTTAATATTTTGTTCAGAAGAACATTACAATGAAGTAGATTTTGCAAATAATATTCAAGGAATAAATTATAATTGTGTATGGGTAAGAAAAACAAGATTTATTAAGTAATTTTATTTATATACACATAGGAAGAATACATATATAGTATAGTAATTATTACATAGTCAATACAAGCATTTTATAAAGTATGACATTTACCAAAGTTTCCATCTAGTCTAGATCAAACATTAGCATAATTGTATTTTAAGAAGCAAGTATATTTATTTATAAGAACATACGCTTTATGAATATGTAATAAATAACAATTTTATGAAATGTTTTTTTTTTTTAATTTAAAACATATACAGGAAATAAATGGAGTCGCACAGTACAGTATTAGTTTATTTTCTACTACACATATTAATATTTAGATACATATAATTGTTTCATAAATGAGGATCGCATCACGCAAATGATTCAATCAATAAAAACGTTTTATAGAATCGATTTACATCATCATAAAACCGTTAATACTAAATAAGGAGAACGTAATCTTTATGGCATTCGATACTAAACTTAGTATCTTTACGTATGCTAATAAGCGAGTGCAGTGTAACACTACAAAACAATTCGCATGGACATAAATAAAACAATCATGTCTATTGGACGATTTTATTCCATTTAAATATCAATAAGAGATTTGCTTAACATATATAATTTGTAAACATTGACTAGATAGCGACTAGAATGCCCTGACGGACCACCTGTTGCTCGATTTACAACATTAAACCTTATCTTTAGATATCTTAAACGACCAGAGCCTCTGATATTTACTTAGGAAGAGTAGAGTTCATAGAGAGGGGACACAGAGCAACACCGAATGATTAACACTGAAGGGGAAAGCGTTCGTAGGGCTTAGGTTCTGGGAGGCTCTGGGCCTAGCAATGCTCAGGCCACCGCCATCTCGCCGATGCCACGTAGAAGGCGCGAGCGCAAGCGGGCGAAGACCGGATGCTCGATCGGTATGCCGCGACCGTGCAGGAAACGCAGGGTCTCCTGGGCGCACACCAAAAACCCAAGCTGCTCTGGGTCCATGTCGACGGGCACCGTGTCCAAAAGAGGGTCCTCGTTCTCGTCGCCGTAGTTGCCGCTGTCGAACTCGCGGTTGTCCACCGGCCCCTCGCCGTGGTTGGCGTCCAGTTCGACGGAGCAAATGCGCCCGAAGAGACGCTTCAGCGCCTGCCGTTTCTCGGCGCTGTCCGAATCGTTCATAAGCGGCTCGCTGCGGGAGCGTTTGCGGCGACGCTGCCGCTTCAGCTTCCGCTCCGCCTCGTTCTCGTTCTCGTTCGCGGGTTCGCGTTTGCGCTTGCTCGTCATTATCACTAGCAGTTTGCGCGCCGCCGTCGGGATACGGACTGAGAATGGGCCGTGCACAGGGAGCTGAAGGGCCGCGATGCGATCACACTGAGCATTCGCCGTCTCGCTCGCGCGGAGCGTCTGGGCGCGCGATAGAGCAGGACGGGACGGTCAGCTGCAGTACGAACAGCTGGGCGAGCAGATGCAGGGCGCGGGGTACGCACGCTTTGTTTGATAAAGTTTATTCGGGGAAATAAAACTGTTAGGCGCGATTGCGCGGGCCGTCGGGGAGCGACGCGCGGGGCATGCGGCCCGGTCGACAGCTGCGCCGCATCTGCCGGGCTCAGGTGGATTCCTTTTCGTCCTCGGCCTAAGATCCCAATACGGGCTTACGCTGATCCACAGCGAAGTGCGCACACAAAACAAACAACAAACCACGAAGAAAATTCCCAACACCCGGAAACTATCCGCACCGCGACAGGCAACGTCGCGCACTAATTAAAATTTCATCGGCGCCCGAAAATGTTCGGTCATTGTATTTCGGACACGCTTGTATGTAAACTAATAGCTATCTGCGTAAATTGTAAAAATCAATACTCGGTTTATGTAGTACCGGGAAACGAGCTGTCGAGCTCTCTCGTTATCTATATATATCTGTATACAACCAGCCCGTTGCTATCGACTTACGTCTATGTCTTAATAATCCGTCGCAAGTTGAGAGCGTTCGACTTATCCATCAATAAATTGTAAGATTTCACTGCTTTCGTCGAACTCCTTACAACACAGTACATTGCTATTGAAAAATGAAATGATCGATCCTTTAATGATGATATAAAATGTAGTTATTTGGTAAGTAGGTCGAATATTTTCATATTTATTTGATTCGATAATGAGGTGTGTTTTGTCTAGCTCATGACGTCTTATATAATTATCTTAATAAACATCTAGAAACTAATTGAGTTAGTTTGAAAATATATGTCTTAAACACGGCTACTGATGTGAATAATGGAAGGTTACCAATTTCTTTTTACTCTCTACTATTTTAGAGACCAATTTACTGTAATACGCTGTCTGGTAAACTTATGAAGCGAGTAAACTATGAGGCGTTTTATGATTTCCTTTTACTTCAGTATTACCTTCTTGCATTACCTTACCTACTTAGTTGGGCATAAAACGTTTGAAATAAATTGAGTCGGCTGTAAGAAGATTCCTTAAACGCGATTATTAATCTGAATTCTGAGTGCCGCGTCTGGCTAAATTAAACAACAGATAATAAATCAAAATAGCTAAACGCTAACGCTAGCTCTTATGCATTTGAGGTGCATACAACACGATACAAAGGAGTTGCTTGATACTTCAAACAAAGCAACGTATCTTCGTTCTCCATGAACTAAACCGTTTTAGTAAATAGTGCTTTATTCCATTGACATAAAGGCTATTTCATATGTTCTATATACAAGCCATCGGTAAAGCTGTACGATTCATAAGCGATTGTTGGGATAATTGTACAATGTCATGCATCAACCGAAAATGTGTCCGGTCTTAGATCATAGGCATCATGAGCGGACATTTTCCTATTCCTCTTTTAATTTTAAATACGTCTTAAGGACTATCCACGTTGTCAATTATTATTGTTAAATTTTGTATATTATAGTTGTGATAATATGCTTATAGTAATGCTTACAAGTTTACAAGAATGTAGGTACATTTTTCTTTAACTAAAGACGAAAGCGATTTCAAATATCTCACTCAATTTAGTTTTAAAGGGTTCCCTGATGTATCACCGGATTCAAAAAATACCAATAAAATTAACACGGGACCACACGGGAGCTGAATTGAATGCAAGAATATTGTTTTAATTGACTCAGAAATGACGGAGTTCTGAGGAAATGAAAATAAAAACAAATTCAAGCGAATTAAGAACCTGTTACTTTTTCAAAGTAGGTTAAAAATATTATGTTTATCTCACCGAATATAAACAGAATATAAATATAAAGTTCTTTCACAAAATTTATAAATATATATATATTTATAAAAATAAAGTTTTATACAAGATTGTGCTTTGATTGATGACTTGTCGTAATTTTAAACGTTTAGAACTGATTTCTATTTGTAAGCTGGTAGATTGTGACGCTCCAAATATTTTGTCGAGCCTGGAACAAGTTTAAACCGAATGATGAAATTTTGACTTTGACTGATCGAACGAGTCTTACAGATCAGCGAGCACAATCACTGAACTGTGGTTTCTAACTTCAGCCGAGTAAGCTAAATGATCGTGATTGCGGAGATACTACTATATTAATCCACACACACTTATTTTGCGCGTATTAATTTGCCTGAAGGAATATCTTAATAGTATGTCTTTCTCTTAGTTCGATTCATTCAGTAAGTAGTAGAGCCGTGATAGCTGAGTGTCCGGGCGCTCGCCTTTAATTCAATATACTCGAGCAACCTGAGTTCGATCCCCGGCGCCGGCACCAATGAAGCTTTTAACTTTAAGTGCTGACTTATCACGTGCTCCGCGGTGAAGGAAAACATCGTGAGGAAACCTGCATATTTTCGAAATGAAGTCCGCGAATGCGCAGTGGGGCCGCGTGGTGGACTATGCCCTGATACCCTCTGTATAGAGGAGGCCTTTGCCCAGCAGTGGGACATGTATAGGCTGTTACTTTACTTTTTTTTACTTTTTAGTAACTAGTAATTTAGGTTCCATTAGTAATTCTGTATAGCTTTTTGGAAAAAGACCTGCAGATGGGATGTTTTATATTGAAAATTATGATTAAATTCATTGTTATTTTATTAATATACACAAAAATGCTAATGTTTTTCTATCTCCGTCACGTTGAAATATTAGTTGGAGGTACTTAGATTTTTTGATGACTATAGTTTTAAAGGGTTAAAGGATTTTCATTGATTGTTTAATTTATAACCACTGTATAATTAGAATATAAAAATAGTGTATGAGTTACTGTGTTTTTTCTTTGTTGACATGTAGATATAATAAAGGATAAAATAAATATATTTATATTATATAAATGATAAACTATAATAAAAGACCTATATAATATTTTATTTCAAAGTAATGGATTCTTTTCATAAGGCTGATTCTACGCTTATATCTTTGTGAAGAAAGACTGTTGGAAAAATAAGGCCGCCAATTTTCTCGCCAATTTTCATTTCTTATATTTCAAATAAAATAGCTGATGGTTGGTTTTGTTGTCCTTGAGAGCTTGAACAACTGGTATGTAATAAAAATATATTGACCAAAATATTAAATGTAAAAATGTTCCCTAAATTGTATCAGTCTTCAAAAAGAGAGACTATTTCTACCTCAAAGTACGGAACCTATTTGCAGCCTCTATTTGTTATGAGTCCATGTTAGGTGGGTATCTTACCATCAGGTGACCCCTTGCTCATTTATCTCCTTTTACAATCTAAAAACAATCATCATGAAAAATAATAACGCAAAATAATAATCACAATAAATATTTCAGGACATATTTTTACACAACATTTTCTAGTCCCAAACTAAGCAATGCCTGTACTATGGGTTGGTAGCTTGTAATATGGATAACTGATAAACATACTTAAACATACTTTTTTTTGTAAATATGTATTTAACTAATTAAAAATATACAAACACCCAGACACTGGAAAAACACTATTTTCCAATAGTGAGGATCGAGCCCACACCAAATAAATAATAAAGTTATGTAGTCAAGATCGTTTATGGCTAGCTCACGATTTTTTTTCTCGAGAAGCTTTAATATTAAAAGTCTACGGGCCGAAAACGAAAACATCAGAGAAAGGAAAGTAAACTAAAGAAATTTATTTCAGAATCTTTACGAAGGATTTGTAGACCAACTATGAAAAATCTCTCACGATTTTGTAATATCGCACGGTGTGGAAGTACGTATAATTGTCGCGGTTTATGTTATTTTAAAAACTATCAACTTTATTATAGCTGCAGGCTAGCCAGGTGGGACAGGATAGCACAGCTTATCACAGGTCTCAAATTTTATGAGGCATAATCGTTAGATAGAGAATTTTGCGACTTAATTTGTTTTGAAAAATACCTACTGATGGCAATGAAAACAAATCACAGAACAACAAGCTTCTGTCTCTGACCAGCAGTGTAGACCATAATTAACCATTTATGCCCTAATAGACGTAGTAACCACCAAACATCGGGCATGAAAGACATAAAACCGCATGATCCTACTGTTGATATTGCAAGGACGGTATTCAAATGTCAAGTCCGAATACCGGGCGTGTATTTGAAATCTTTTCATTCCGCACGTCACTGACTAACGAAGCAATATAGCAGCACAGTGAAAGAACAAAAAAAGCACGGCGCGCTTAAATAACATGATAGCTCTGTCTGGAAATAAAAGGGCGAAATGGCCGTGTCGGGTCCATTTTCGCTTGTAAACCGAGCCGGAGCGCCAAATTGAATTGTTGAATGAAATGTGCAAACGTAATTTCAAGAGCGTTTTAGAACGGAGTGAAGTGATGTGCACTCTGGCAGTTTACTTTTCTAGCGCAAACTTCTCTAGGCATTTTGGGAAATTTTCGATGGCGAAAAATTCATGGGCGTTTGGTTAACGCATTCAGCTTTACGGACATGCTGATGTTTGTCATGCGTTTGTCAGTGACGTTGGTGACGTTTAAATTGCATTTTGAGATTAAAATTCTGTAAAATTCTACAAAATAATTAATTACCTAAAAATATTGTTCATTGATTTCGATTGTTTGCAGTTTAAATTAGTGTTTTGTGATTTTAATACTTTTATTATTTAAAAATTAAAATCTTCTTGTATCTTGTATTAACTGATGTTTTTGCTTTCAGTCCCGAGACTATTAAAGCTTCATCGGACGCAGAACCGGTGGGCTAGCCAGAACCCACGGGTTTGGACCCTCCGCTATGGGTAGGGTCGCGCATGTGCTCATGCGTGCGTTTAACTACTATGGTGTGTCATCTAAGGGCCGTCGAGGTCGCCGGTTCGGACCGAGACCCCGACGGCCGTCGACTGTGCATTTAGCTAATCGGTGGCTGGGAGCGGTGAGAACCGCCCCGGAACGCGGGTGTACCTTGTGTACGCGTTGTGTGGGTCTCGCCGTGCTCGGAGGCGAGGGCGAACTGGTGTGATTGTTGTTACACTAACTGTGGGTGTAGTGTTATCCGGCGGGACCCCCGGCGGTGGGTCCATCGTGTCTAAGTCCTCATCGACCCGGTCGATGAGGACGTTTCGCGGGCGACGCTTGTTTACGTTCGCGTTAGTGTCCGGTAGGTAGTTTGCTGCGCTTACCACCAGAGGGTTGGGATGATGCTGGGCTCTATCGAAGAACCGTTTTGTCAAATCTTTAAAATGTGCGCGAATCATCGGGAGTCTGCAATCGCTGTGCAGGTCGACGTTGCGCTGATACCATTGCGCACCGGTTGCGCGGCGGATAAACTTACTTTGAACTACTTGCAATTCGTTAATGCGCGTAGGATTC